TATACAAGAGGTTTGCCTCAAGCCTTTTAAAAGTAATTACATTTGTGCACTCTGAAGGGTCTGTGAAGTTTTTTGTTTGCACAATGTATTTGGAAGGCTCATCCTGTATAAAACAAAGGCTACAAAGGGAATCTGTAATAGAGCATGCTGGCTGTGATCCATCAATATTACATTGTAAATTTTTATTCTTTTCTACCTTTGAAGTTTGAAAGCCTTTAACTGAGTTTTTGTGAAAATAAATGCTAGGAAGTGTCACACTGCACTTAGTAAGCACAGAAGACACTGCAGGGATAACAAAACAGAAGTCAGTCTATTTGCCTCTAGTAAAATCAACCCCACAGTTTACAACTGATCATGAGATCTGTCAGCGCAGTACAGATCGGGTTATTTATGGTTATCTCCCAGCCCCCTTGAATTTAAGAGAACAATACATTTTAGGAGTAAAAGTAGGAGCAAATAAAAAGCTAAGCAGCAATTTTTAGGTATTTTTTTTGTTAACCATTAGCCGCCTGGCCTATAGCCGTTTGGCGGCCGCAAAAATGCTTCAGCTTTCCGGGTGCATGCCATTTTGGTGCTATATAAGTACCTGAAATAAAGTACAGTATAGGATTTTATTTTTACGCTGCATGCCACCTATCAGTTTAATAAATAGGAAATCACTTCTTTTTGTTTTCGTGCAACCACAGGGAGACAGAGGGGGCCAATCTATTTGGTTGATCTAGATGACTTAAAGGCTATTCTGGTGTTTACCAATCTGTTGACATCAATTCAAGAATTGAATAGATATTCTTAAGAACTGGGAATATTTTTTTATGTCTACTAATCAATAAATAATAAAAAGTTAGAGGAAATATATAGCTAATCCTTAGAGCAGTGGTTCTCAACCTTCCTAATGCCGTGACCCTTTAATACAGTTCCTCATGTTGTGGTGACCCCCAACCAGAAAATTATTTACCCAGTAATTATAATTCATGAGTTTTACCTCCAATACTGCTGCTTTCAACACAGTAGCTGCTTTTAACAGAGTAGCTGCTTTCAACACAGCAGCTGTTTTCTACACAGTGGGGAAAGAACAAAAAGAGGGCGCACAGGCCTAGTGCATTACCATAAAAAATGTTTAGTAAAAAATAAAGTAGGTGTTGTACTCACAAACGACAATATAGTCAAGGCACATCATAGAAGAAACAGCTGGATCAACACCGCGCTGAGTAACAGTCCACAATAGGGAGTTTAGACATCCAAAAGGCTGACGCGTTTCGAGGACTTGCCTCTTCCTCAGAGCCAACTTAGTTGGCTCTGAGGAAGAGGCAAGTCCTCGAAACGCGTCAGCCTTTTGGATGTCTAAACTCCCTATTGTGGACTGTTACTCAGCGCGGTGTTGATCCAGCTGTTCTTCTATGATGTGCCTTGACTATATTGTCGTTTGTGAGTACAACACCTACTTTATTTTTTATTAAACATTTTTTATGGTAATGCACTAGGCCTGTGCGCCCTCTTTTTGTTCTTTCCCCATTCAGTATATTTGGATTCCCCCGGTCCATTTGAGGGCAGCAAGGTGTGCATGTTCCAGGACATTCTTAATGTGGTTGTAGCATCGAGTCCATCCCCAAGCGCAGGAGCATTTGTGTTTGCTGGTTCTTTGTTTTCTACACAGTAGCTGCTCTTTACACATTGGAAATATGTGTTTTCTGATGGTCTTAGGGGACCCCTGTGAAAGGGTCGTTCGACCCCCCCAAAGGGGTCGCGACCCACAGGTTGAGAACCACTGCCTTAGAGCATTAAACCTATAGGAAAAGTTGGCTTTGACAGCTATTATTGGCCAGAGATGCAATTGTTGAACTTATTGGTAATTTTTATTAAAATTATAACAAAGTCTAAAAAAAAAGTTCAGCAGAAACATTTCTTGGCCTTTGAAATAAGGTGCAAAATCTCATCTATCTTTTGTCTCCGGGGTCTTTTCCTACCTCATCTAACCAGTAGTGAATACCAGGGATTTTTCCATTGACAAATCTATGGTACCTAGAACTTTCCCAATCAAGGATAATTAACAGCTTGGATAGTATACATGGACTAAAGCCGGCCATAGACGGTTCAAACCTTGGCCAGTTCAGCAGGGACTGGCCGAGATTCGAACCATGTATGGGTAGGCTGAATGTACCCAAGTTGACTGATTGATGAACAATCCTGTACAACCATCTTGTCAGGTTTTACATGCGATTATTATAAGGCTCCGTTCACACCTGTGCAGTTTTGCTTTTTTGACCGTTTTGCAGTGCTTTTCATAGTTCATTTTGCATTTTTCTACTGTGTGTTTGATGCGTTTTTACCGTGTTTTGTTCAGCTTTTTTTTTTTAGGTGGAATTTTTTTTTTTGCTGGGCAGAATAAAAATGCAAAACACTGCAGAAACGCAATACCATGCATTTCAGCAGATTCTTCATTGAACCTTATTGTAGCATATACGCTGCTTTTTGCTTTTAAAAACAGTCCCTGACTGACACAACAGCTCAAAAAAAGCATAGATGTGAACATGTTCCATAGGAAACCATGTTAAATGGACTGTAGTGTGGTTTCTGAAAAAGCAGTAAAAAACGCATTGATGTGAATGGACCCTTATAGCCTCTCTAGCAGTAATCACTGTGGCTCTGCGGGAGGGATTCCCCCACCAACACTAATGCAGGCCATAGATGGGTCAAACATCGGCCGATTTTTCGAACGATAAACGAAAAATCGGTTGTTCGTTCGGCCGACGTTACCACCAACAAATAAAAAAATTGTCTGACTAAATCATAAATTTCACCCATAACTTCTGTCCCTTTCAGGTCACAGCTCATGCGCAGATTTTTTATTGTTAAAACGATCGTCCGATTTGGCCATCATTGCCGGGAAAATCGTCCGATCGTCCAAATCGGCCGCAAATTTCCCAACATAAACCGATAATCTGAAAGTGCAAAATACACGAAAAACGGCCGAAGAACTAATCCACTAACGGTACGAAAATCAGCCGATTTGTCTTTCGGCTGAAAAATCAGACGATTAACGACCCATCTATGGCTTGCATATCTGTGTTGATGGGGGAATCAAGCAATTTTTTTCTCCTGCAACCATGGGTTGAAAATCACACTGTCTATGGCCAGCTTTAGATACAGTACATGTACCATTGTTACTCCCAGCAGTCTGTGTCTTTATTTGTATTTCTTTGATACATCGTATTATGTAACACAATTGTTTTATTACTGTTTTACAAGACTTTTTGTTTAAAATATATGTTGTGGTGCAGGAGTGATTGTCCATTCTACAAGTTCTGCTGCAGCTTTTTGGCCTTCTAATATTAGGTATGTATTTTACTTTTAATAGTTTTACTTTTCTATCAACTCACTACCAACAGAGATATCATCAATTGCAAATATGTGATAAGAACACCCCTATGACCCATCTAGCGTGTTTATCCACATTCAGGGCATGGGGGTAATCTCTCCCATTACTGACAATAATACACAGTGCCACATTTCTGATCATTTTGCTTGATGAAGACAATTATGCACAACACTTTGCAACTAATCTGACCTTAAAGTAGAACTATAGAAAAAAATTTTTTTCATTTTGGATAGAGTAAAGAAAAGTTATAACGCCTGTCAGATTTGTTTTTTTTTTTTTTTTTTGCCATCTGTGTCCCATTGGGGAGATTTTCATTCACATCCTGTCCCACAGCTAAAGCAGGAAGTGAGAGGAAATCTTTACAAATTAAAGGAATCCTTGGGGGCCCTCAGGTCACCAGAACTAGTGTCCCCATGAAAAGATTTCCCCTCTGGGGACAAATCCAAACTTTGGGATTTTCTTCTACTATCACTTTCAATGATAATGGTAAACAGGACAGATAGAGAGGGTGACTCTCCCTAATAGGGTCAAAGACAGCAATAAAATCTGACAGGTGCTCTAATCCATCTCCACTCTATACAAAACTAAAAAAAAAAAAACTTTAAGGTCCCTTTCACAGAAGCCCTACTGCTGATTTGTGATCTGTGGTAAATTCATCAGCAGCAGCAATTGGCCTGTAGTTGGCAGGAGATTGGGCCAATGTGCTCCCTCCTGCACTAATTTTTTACAAGGAACTTTACACTGAAATTGCAGTTGTGGCACATCCCCATTCACCTCTATGGGGCTCAACATTTCCTATTTTTTTTTTTTTTTAATGAGCTGTGAAGCACAGCTTTGGGCCCATGGCAATGTGTATGGGGTTATCCAGTGGCCAATACCTGATTTTGACAAGTTAAAAATGTGCTTCAATTGCCTACTTTTGCCAATTGACAGTGCTGTGCTGTGTGAAAGGAGCTTTATTGAATAATGAAAGTGACCATAATCTATACACTGAACATTTGACATGATAAACCATATCTTGCATCAGCATCTTCAGGTGTTCGACCGCCTTAATTAAAGAGACCCTGTCACCAACTTGAAAAAAATTGTAGGTAAGGCCTCATTCACATGGGCACAGAGGTCCGTAGTCCATGAGTTGACCGTGTGTTTATGCGGCTTGAGCCACCAGGTGCTGCGTGCAGACAATCCATGTAACTGTATGGGGAAGCAGCTGCTCATCCCAATTCGAAAGGCATTCAGGTGTGCGTGGGTGGCCCTGAATGATCAACTGAGGAAGAAAGTAGGGTCAAAGAAATTTGGGAGCCATGACAATTTAGAATGTATTTCACTATTTTGGCAAAACTGGGCAAAACAGGCCCATAGGTTCTCCCTTTAGAACCCAGAATCTACGGAAAAGGCTTTAAGGTCTGGTCTGTTCTATGGAGACCACAAGACTGGTTGATGTAGTGACCACAAAGTCCTAAACTGGAGGGAATCACAACTCTTAACTTCTAACATTTGTAACTTTCTTTACACATCATGACAAAAGATAAAGAGTAATTTTGCTTTAAATTTCATATTTATTGGTTTAATAATATAATTTTCTTTGTGCTTTGTCTGCAGTGTCAGCTGTTTTGCAGCCTCCAAGGAACCTAAAAATCCTTTCAACAACTTTCAGCATATCCTGACTTGGGAAGACCCTAACAATGAATCGGCTATCTACTACAAAGTGCAATATTCGGAAAACTAGTAGGTTTATAGACTCTACCAGGGCTGTTCCAAAAACTTCCTCTCATGGCCAAATCCCTGGCAGCTCTTACATTCAAAGCTCCAAAACTTCCTCTACATCCCACCCTACATACATGTCTATTGGCTCATCACTATAACAGGCTGCCTCAGTGGCCAAAGGTATTACAATAGGCAAAAAGGGTCAGTAAAGTGTATTCTTCACTATAAAGGAATACCAGAGCTTTGTCTATCAGAGCAGCATGGTTATTAAGGCTCAGATATATGCAGGCACCTCTGGATGCCTCCCCTCTATAGCCTATATCCTTTAATGACTAAATCTCTTAATAGAAAACATATCAGCCCATTTTTATCCTTGGAATGGGAGAAGTATAGGGTGCACCGTGCTATAAGCAGCTAGGGGATCTTCAAAATCCAGGCCACCAGTCCAGGGGGAGATGTACAGCTGGTGAAGCCTTGGAGGGCACTCAGTCAGTGCTTCAGACTCTGATAAAAGCATAAAGGAAAGAAGGCACCTCTAATTCTAGTAAGACAATACTTATTGAATAACCCACTGTTAAAAATAACTGAGAATGATGCAGATATCAAGCTCAACAATCCTTCTGTAACGCTAACAGCAGGTTCATCTATCAGGGTTCTGTCCAATCCTCAGAGCACCAACCAGCAGTCTAGGGAAGGATGAAAACCAACAACAAGATAGCCATCGCAATTCCAGAGCCAGTGTGGAATGCATGCAAACGGAAGTGACGTCACGGGGGCAGTTAAGTGTTTTGGAGCATGTGCAGAACTCCTTTTTCAAACTTGAGACCGGTGACCGGTGAAGCTTGAATTTATAGGAGGTGTGGGGGGCGGACTTTGGAGCACAAATTAAAATAACAATTGTTTCAAAATATAAAAACAGCAATAAACCATGCGCTAAATACTTGCACAGTATACACAGATTTCATCCGAAAAAACAGGTACCAGCAGGACTACAAGCACCAGCAGAACAAGAGTATATGCTAACATATTGTAAAACAACGTGGATAGATAATTCCGTTTAGCACTACAAAGCAGCATGGGACTAAAAGTACCAGTGTGGCTACAAGCACCCACAGAACATGCATAAGGCGTATATATAGTAAACAATATAACTTGCACTGTAAGCATGAGTAAGAAAAGAGGGCTATGTTAAAAAGAGAGCAGATTTTAGCACAGGGGTGCTCAACCTCCTGAAGAGCGCGGGCCACATAAGTGATTTGGTTAATTCATAATGCAAGGGAGAACGAAAAATACACTGCTCAAAAAAATTAAAGGAACACTTTTTAACCAGAGTCTAGCATCAAGTGATTTAAGCTCCTGGCATATTGATCTGGTCAGTTAAGTAGCAGAGGGGGTTGTTAATCAGTTTCAGCTGCTTTGGTGTTAATGAAATTAACAGGTGCACTAGATGGGCAAAAATGAGATGACCCCAAAACAGGAATGGTTTTACAGGTGGAGGCCACTGACATTATTTTTCCCTACTCATCTTTCCTGACTGTTTTTTCACTAGTTTTGTATTTGGTTACAATCCGTGTCACTGCTGGTAGCATGAGGTGATACCTGGACCCTACAGAGGTTGCACAGGCAGTCCAACTCCTCCAGGATGGCACATCAATATGTGCCATTGCCAGAAGGTTTGCTGTGTCTGCCAGCACAGTCTCAAGAGCATGGAGGAGATTCCAGGAGACAGGCAGTTACTCTAGGAGAGCTGGGCAGGCCGTAGAAGGTCCTTAACCCATCAGCAGGACCGGTATCTGCTCCTTTGTGCAAGGAAGAACAGGATGAGCACTGCCAGAGCCCTACAAAATGACCTCCAGCAGGCCACTGGTGTGAATGTTTCTGACCAAAAAATCAGAAACAGACTTCATGAGGGTGGCATGAGGGCCCCGACGTCCTCTAGTGGGCCCTGTGCTCACTGCCCGGCACCATAGAGCTCAATTGGCATTTGCCATTGAACACCAGAATTGGCAGGTCCACCACTGGAGCCCTGTGCTTTTCACAGATGAGAGCAGGTTCACCCTGAGCATATGTGACAGACGTGAAAGGGTCTGGAGAAGCCGTGGAGAATGTTATGCTGTCTGTAACATCAGAGTGACGGTTTTGGTGGTGGGTCAGCGATGGTCTGGGGAAGCATATCCATGGAGGGACACACATTAGGTATCAAGATGAAATCCTTGGACCCACTGTCAGTCCCTACGCTAGTGCAGCGGGTCCTGGGTCCCTCCTGGTGGATAGCAATGCCCAGCCTCATGTGGTGAGAGTATGCAGGCAGTTTCTGGAGGATGAAGGAATTGATACCATTGAACAGCCTCACGCTTGGCTGACCTGAATCCAATAGAAACACCTCTGGGATATCATGTTTTGGTCCATCTGATGCTGCCAGGTTGCACCTCAGACTGTCCAGGAGCTCAGTGATGCCCTGGTCCAGATCTGAGAAAATACCCAGGACACTATCCATCGTCTCATTGGAAGCATGCCCCGACGTTGTTAGGCATTCAAACAAGCACGTGGGAGACATACAAACTACTGAATACCATTTTGAGTTGCTGCAATGAAATTTCAGCAAAATAGACTAGCCTGCTGCATTCTTTTTTCACTTTGATTTTTGGGGTGTCTTTGAATTCAGTCCTTTGTAGGTTGATCATTTTCATTTCCATCAATTGCTGGGGCATCTGTACGTTCCTAACACATTACCCAGTCCATATCAGTATAGATATCCAGCAGGAGATTTTTCCCGTTGAGATCTGATGTGTTTTCAAAGTGTTCCTTTCATTTTTTTGACAAGTGTATTTACCAAAAACGTAAAGGGGTTATGATATGTTATAGTATGGAGCTCAGTTCCAGTTCCTCATTGTGGCCACTTGGAAGGATTGATGAGCTTGATCTGTACCATTGTGTGAGGTTTTTTTTGCTTTTTCAATAAATATTATCTTACTGCTCTTAGAGGCACCTTCTTTCCTATATGCAGAAAATTAGCAATAGCTACTACAAACTGTGTAATATCACGTTTGTGAGCAATGAGTGCTGTCTTTTGGACTGAATGTGGCTAAGCAAATTTGTTTAAAAAAACTAATATCAGCAACAGCATGAGCTCAGTGTTGGAAGGTGGAGGGAGCATTTGCTAACCCACATGGTGTTATGCAAGAACCCCTTCTCCCAAATCTGTTTATTATTCAGCAAGGAGCACTGTAAAATATAGCATATATGTCATATACAGGAATATATTTTTTATATATATTCATATTCTTGAAAAAAGAAACTTTTTTTTTTTTTTTCTACTGTAACAGCCAAAGGTTGGTCCCCACCAGAGATTGCACCAATATCAGTATTCCCCGCTGTGACCTGACAAAAGATTTCACAGACATCTTTTGGAAATTATGCGGCACAAAATCCAGATCTTCACTCATAATGACTCATCAGAGCCACTTTTCTCCCATCCCATGTACCCCCATATCAGACAGTAAGTACAAAACTGGGATCTCCACACTGGTCTGGAAACTCCTACTATTATGACTGGAGGCACCAGTGCACATTCAATTCTGAGTTGATAAACTTCAGGAAGCACATAAATAAAAGCAAACCTTTATTGTAGTAAAAAAAAAAACCTTTGTACAGAATGACAAGTCCACATGGAATTGATTTAAAGTTATACAATCTACATAGGTGTTTCCATGTTCTTTAAACCATAACCTGAAATTGATCTATTTTATTCATTTTTTTTGCACAGATTGTATAAAACATGGTACCACTGAAAGGAAAAAGAGTTTTTAAGGAATGGTTTAATAGTAAAAGTGAGATAAGATGGAAAATAAACTAAGGAGATAAATGATGGTGCATGAAAGAGGTGCTAAGAAACAGTGGGTCAACTGAAGGTTATTGAATACTTGGACGACATCTCTGCAGATCTATTTATATGAATATAATACTGTAACAATGTTGAACCAGGGTGTGACCAAGATGTACTACTGCTACAGTGCAGGGCCTGGACTTGGCTGTACTTTTTGGCAGAGGGTACCTGGATTTTGATGGGGCTCCAAACAGATGGTCCAAGTGGGCTGTCTAGGAGGCGCTATAATTGAATACTTACTATGTGGCCAAGAAATCTATAGGAACCACTTCACAGTTCGCAGGGCAGTCAGGGATGCCTAAGGACTTATCTTTTGCCCAATGAGCTTCTGCTATGCTGATCCCATTGTGTGTACTGAAGAAAAGGAGCTTTTTGTTTGTGGTCAGCCAAAACTTACCTAACTTGGTCAGTTGAATCAATATGTGACAATTATCCAGAAAAGTCTGCCCCTCTTAGTCCCAGAACCCATAATTTTGTAATGCCTTTTCAGACACAAATTGGTTACCCCCACCTTTGTCCCTGGGGACTCCATTGCAGTTGCATTGGCTGCTTTGTCTGTAGGACCACATTGCCTTAAAAGCAAAGCAATTCTCATGAATATATTTTCTCCTGTGGATTTTATCTGGTTTTCTCTTCAACGTGAAGTCAGCTTACTCACAATTCTATCATATATTAACAAACAGTATATATCTCCTTTTAAGCTTGTCTAGGGCCCCCCATTGTGGATGTTATTTCAGATGATAATGGACTCCAAATTTCTATCTACCCTCCGGTCTCTCATTTATGGAGTGAAAAGGAGCAGCACAATGTTACCATGCTGAGTGACAATGTCTATCCATTGCTGTTGTACACAATTCAGCTGGTGAAGGACTCTGCACAGGTAAGCTAAAAACTATTTTTCTATGGGATAAAGTATGAGTTCAAAGGTTTTAGAATCTTACCACCTCCTGCTAAAACCAAGAAGGGAAAATCCGACTTACTTGAATCCCTTCGGACTGAATACAGGTTCCAACCCTTATACGTCAACTTTCTGACTCATCCAAAGAGCCCATAAAATCAACAAGGATAGAAAAAAAAATGACACCCCCCCTCCTTCAAAGGTTCCAACCTTCGGGAAGCCAACCTAACTCTACCAATTTAATGCTTAACCTCACACTTTAGCCCGACTTTGAAAATTGCTCAGTGATAGTTATACTCTTAATGGAAAGTACCTTTAATGAAGTACCCATTTCTCACCTATAACACCCCTAAATCCAGCAATTGCATTGAACTTTGAGATGGTGCAATGGCCGCTGAAGCAAATCACAAGACTGTAAAGCAGCTGTCCTTAGTTTCTCTGGGGAATGTTAAAATATGTATAAAGCATCCTGCCTTTTTGACTTTAATTTTTCCAATTATAATCATATAACATGGAAAATAATAATAACAAGATGGAACCACTACGAAGGGAGGCATTTGTGGTAGGGCAGCATGAATTCTAAATATGGACATGACTATCAAGAGTAGCCATGCTGATCTGCAGCATCAGCAACATGGTAGTCTTCAATGTAGGCCAGCATACAGCTGTGACCCTGTACTCCGCTGGGTCACCTACTCCACACCTCAGTAGTTCACAGGATGTTTTCGTCTTTGACTGGTAGTTGAAGAAGTTAAAGAGTAACTCCACTTTTGTCTGAGAAAAAAAAAATATTTCCCTCTGGGTAATCAATGTATATTGCGAGGATTTTTATCAAACTTTGTTGCAGATTCCTACCTTGTGCTATTCTGAAGAAATAGCTGTTTTTCTGTGTCCATGTGGAGAATGACTCTGTATGGGAGTGGTTTTATAATTATCAATCAGCTGCTGCACCTGCAGGGCTCTAATGAGGAAGGTGGCAAGGTCTGCGTGACATTTTTGTTGCAGGGGATGCCAAAAATCTGACTCGTGTCTTAGTGCACACTTCTGGGAAAATCAGTAAGCCAATCACACAAGCAGGAAATTACGATTTCAAGGGGCATTTTGTACACCATCTGTGTACAGAAAGCCTCCAGGTAGGCGTATTGCATTGCATTTTACAGAAAACGACAGCACTGCAGATTTATAAAGGAAAGGTCATTTTTAATAACATTCAATTTACAATATGAATTGAGTTGTTACTGGGACAAAATCATTTACTTAGCTGTGGTTATTATCACACGGTAAACAGCTTGCAGTTTCAGAGCTGGGTGCCCACATGCACATAAGCAAGAAGTGCTGCACTTTGTGAATGGCCCTGTAGTCTTCTGGGACCTGTCACGTGTCCAAAAAGACTACGGAGAGGGAGGACAAATTCCAGAAGAATACAGAATATGACCAGAGACTGCAGACATAGTACAGGAGATGACCAGAGACTGCAGACATAGTACAGGAGATGACCAGAGATTGCAGACATAGTACAGGAGATGACCAGAGACTGCAGACATAGTACAGGAGATGACCAGAGACTGCGGACATAGTACAGGAGATGACCAGAGACTGCGGACATAGTACAGGAGATGACCAGAGACTACGGACATAGTACAGGAGATGACCAGAGACTGCGGACATAGTACAGGAGATGACCAGAGACTGCAGACATAGTACAGGAGATGACCAAAGACTGCAGACATAATATAGGAGATGACCAAAGACTGCGGACATAATACAGGAGATGACCAGAGACTGCGGACATAATACAGGAGATGACCAGAGACTGCGGACACACTACAGGAGATGACCAGAGACTGCGGACATACTACAGGAGATGACCAGAGACTGCGGACATAGTACAGGAGATGACCAGAGACTGCGGACATAGTGCAGGAGATGACCAGAGACTGCAGACATAATATAGGAGATGACCAAAGACTGCGGACATACTACAGGAGATGACCAGAGACTGCGGACATACTACAGGAGATGACCAGACACTGCAGACACAGTACAGGAGATGACCAGAGACTGCAGACACAGTACAGGAGATGACCAGAGACTGCAGACACAGTACAGGAGATGACCAGAGACTGCGGACACAGTACAGGAGATGACCAGAGACTGCGGACACAGTACAGGAGATGACCAGAGACTGCGGACACAGTACAGGAGATGACCAGAGACTGCGGACACAGTACAGGAGATGACCAGAGACTGCGGACATAATACAGGAGATGACCAGAGACTGCGGACATACTACAGGAGATGACCAGAGACTGCGGACATACTACAGGAGATGACCAGAGACTGCGGACATACTACAGGAGATGACCAGAGACTGCGGACATAGTACAGGAAATGACCAGAGACTGTGGACATACTACAGGAGATGACCACAGACTGCAGAAATAGTACAGGAAATGATCAGAGACTGCGGACATAGTACACGAAATGACCAGAGACTGCGGATGTACTTCAGGAGATGACCACAGACTGCAGACATAATACAGGGGATGACCAGAGGCTGCAGATGTACTTCAGGAGATGACCAGAGACTGCAGACATAATACAGGGGATGACCAGAGGCTGCGGACCTTTGGGGAGCAAGTACCCGAATTTGACAGGTACCCGCTCCCACTTCCGCTGCAATCTCCTAGGCGATCGGAAGTGGAATTTGTCCTCCCTCTCCGTAGTCTTTTTGGACACGTGACAGGTCCCAGAAGACTACAGGGCCATTCACAAAGTGCAGCACTTCTTGCTTATGTGCATGTGGGCACCCAGCTCTGAAACTGCAAGCTGTCACAGCCGGGTGCCCACACTAAAGATGGGAGGCCAGGGAGAGTAGACACGGCCAGTGAAACCAGCAGTGGCGAGGACACCGCTGGACTGAGGAGCAGGTTCTGCTGCACAGAAGAGCCGAGTGGCCAGCTGGGATTCTAACACAGTGGAGGCGACGGGGGAATATCGGGCCAGCTGCTCCATATTTTCGCACCATAAGACGCACAGACATTTCCCCCCATTTTTGGGGAGGAAAAAGTGCGTCTTATAGGAGCAAAAAAAATACAGTATGTTATAGTAATGTATGCATATTGGTCCACAGTGAGCAGCACAGTCATGACATTACCAAATCTCACTCAAAATCTCCTAAAACTAGCAGTCAAAGGCAGCAGTGCCTTAGATCTCACACTGCAGATACAGTATACTGATATCAGGCTGTAGACACGCTCATTTATCAGGAAGTGCACTGTCATTTTTCAGGAGGTATTCAAGATACGAGCTACAGTTTCAGGGACTGCTTCAGCACACTCACTATTTTCAAAGTCCCTATAGCAACTCTTCATTGTATGAGTTTAGGTCCTCTTTATCCAGGAGGTTTATGTCCACCATTCTCACCTTACAGTTGAGTTTCCATCTGTGTTCACAGTTCTTGCCTCCTTCTTATTACGCAACCCTCTTACTGCACTGTCGGATTGGCACAACACCCTTCACCCTGCCACATTATTATTTATGCACACAACCAGGGGCGGACTGACAACTCATGGGGCCCCCGGGCAATAGGGGATCATGGGGCCCCTGTGTCCTTGCCCAAACTCAAAAAAGCCTATGAAAAAGGTACCAGGGGCATTTCATGGGGCCCCCTACTGACCCCAGGCCCTGCCCGAGTTTCCAAATGGTCAGTCCGCCCCTGCACACAACCCTCTGTCTGCAGACAGCTTCATCGGTGAACAAAAAGAATTTTAAACCAGTATGACCCTAGATTAACCCAACCCATATCACTGATGTCAGCATGAGAAAGGCACAAGGTTTTTTTGTTTGCTAATTTTCTTGATTTGCCTGAAAGCTAAGATAATTTACAATTAATGTTCAAAGCAATTTCATTTTGTTATTTGAACAGGCCACAATACAGGAAACTGAAGTTAGTAACGAAAAATTATACCACACTAATAACGGACATTCTGGGAAACAGCAACTACTGTGTAACTGTGAATGCATCTACTGATCTTAATGACCATTCAGTAGCATCTCCAATGAAATGTATCTTCACTAAACCTCCACAAGCAAGATGTAAGTAAAAAGTATATTCAATTTTGCACACCAGAAATAGAAGAAAAGTAGTTTTTCCTGTTTGCTGTTGGTGGGTGATGTTAATGATGCAAATGGATGATGTACAGAAAGGCTTCTTCACAGTAAGAGCTATGAAAATGTGGAATAGATGACTTCAGCGCGATGTCAAAGCCACCGATTAGTGCGACCTCATGTGCAGCTTACCGGCATTTGTGCGACTACATGCACAGATGTCAATGCAAGTCACACATGAAATGGCAAAAAATAGTGCAGGAACCTCAAAGTCTTTGAACGGTTCCATATCCGTAAAATAGGATGCGACTTGTCATGTGACTTTGATCTTTCAAGTCGCATCAGTGTGAACCAAAATATAATTGGATACCAAACATTTATAGGTGATAACACCAGGGGTAGTTGATCCAGGGAGTATCTGATTACCTTTTGGGGGATCAGGAAGGAATGTTTTGCCCTCAGTGGAGAAAATTGGATCATGCTTTATTGGGGGGAGGGGGGGGGTGCATTCCTTTGGATCAACTGAGTGTAGGACTGTGTATGTAGAGGCTGTCTGTTTTTTTCTGTTGGTTGAACTTGATGGACTTGTGTTTTTTTTTTAAACCTGTCTATGTACAGTAACTATTTACAGTTTGGCCAAGGAGCCAGACCCAGCCTACTGACTACACAATGAAGAACAAACACAGTACAATAATCAGATCATGCCTTTTATCTCTCCTCTTGTAAGCATGTTCATAAATAAACATGCCAAACATTAGTGCCTTTTTAGCTGACCATCCCTCTCACAGTCTGTGTTCTGTTGTATAATCACTTAAAACGGAGTTCCACTCACCTTGTCAAAAAATAAAAGTCAGCAGCTACAAAAACTGTTGACTTTTAAAAAACACAGTCACTTACCTGTCACTCGGTCCCGCGGTGTGTCCCCTGCAGCTCATTTTACCGGCTGTCTTCTCTCCCTGGGTGCCAGCATCTTCAGTGTGGGCACCTGGCTGTGACAGCTTGCGGCTTCACAGCCGGGTGCCCACTGCGCATGCACGAGTAGCGCTGCGCTTCTTGAATGGTCCTGTAGTCTTCTGGGGCCTGTCACGTGTCCCAAAAGACTATGGGGAGGGAGGAAGGGAGGACACCTTCCACTTCCGATCGCCTAGGAAGTGGGAGCGGGTACCTGTCAAATTCGATCACCCGCTCCCCCCCGCGCCCCCAAAGGGGGCAATCCTTAATGGGGAGCGGGGGACCAGTCTTTAAAAGCAGAACTTCCCCCTTTTGAGTGGAGCTCTGCAGCCTGTAATACCCCTTCATTGCCAGTTCATTTTTCAGTTCTCAATGCTGTGGTAATTTGCCTGGTAAATTACTCCATCATGCAATGCTGTACCCAAATTTCATTTTATATAATTTTTTTTTGAGACAGAAAGAAGAGCTTTCTTTTTGTGGTATTTAATAACAGCTGTTTTTTTTTTTTGGGGGGGGGGTTACCATAAAATGGAAAGAAATACCAATAGGTTTGGAAAAAACATTTTTCTCTTTACTTTCTGTTAAAATAAAATGGGAGGACAGTCCAACAACCTCTCTCTGACCTTGGCAACCGTTACGGCGCCAGCGGCTGTTCGAGTGCAGCCACTGGTGTCAATAGGGCATTAAATTGTTATCAAACTTTAAAAAAATGTCAGCAGTACTATACATTGAGCCGCACATGCACAGTTCAGAGTACTTTACGGCATCTGCTCTATGCCATGACAATGTGTTGCAGGCCGGGGGTTTGGGTTTCCCTCGGGGGAGAACAATAGCAGTTAAGGTTAGGATTCCCCACAGATATCAGATCATCACCTGATTTAACATAAAATACAGCTGACACTTCATGTCTATGGGTTTCCTAATAGTCAGATATTCCATACTTAAAGTGCAACTAAAGGCTTTTGTGTGACAATCTAAGCAAGTACCAAATCCAGTTCTTATGTGATTTACAAGCATTATAAAATAAAAACAAAAACTTCCTTTACCTTTCCCGAGTTAGCAGAGACGTAGATAAGGTGTGTGGGTGTGTGGGTGAGTGGGTGGGGGGCCATCCATCCCTTCAGCCCTCAAAATTTCCACTCTGGAAATAAGGTGGGGGAGGCGAGCAGTGCTGGGACTAGGGGTGTGTAGGAGAGGTGGGAGGTGGGGGCAGTAACAAGCAGCGATCTCCTGTATGGCTTTCAATGAGGCAGCTGGAAGTCACAGGAAGGAGAGGTGAGAATCGGCTTCTAGCTGCTTCATTGGAAGCCATACAGGAGATCGTTGCTTGTCACTGACCCCCCCCCCCCCCCCCCGCTGCACAGAATATACCTGATCTTTCCGTTTTCTTTCTGTCCCCCCCCCCCCACTGCTGCTGTGTTCCTCCCCCCCACCGCCGCTGTGTTCCTCAGTGCCCAGCCCCTCCCTCCATCCTCTGCACCAATAGGAGAAGAGGGGAGAGAGGCTGGATCTGCTCTGCCTCCCCCTGTACCCACCCACACTCCAGTCCGTGTAGCTTCAGAGGAGGCGTGGGTGGAAAATTGAACACAGAAGCCGAGAGCTCTTATGCATCTGAATGAATCATGTGAGTCCAACCTATCTTCCTTCCACCCATCCCTCCCTTCCTTCCACCCACCCACCCACCTCTCCCTCCTTCCACCTCTCCCTTCCTTCCACCTACCCTTCCCTTCCTCCCTTCCTTCCAGCCCTCCCTTCCTTCCACCCACCCCTCCCTTCCTTTGTTCCACCCCTCCCTTCCTTTGTTCCACCCCCCCCTTCCTTCCTTCCACCCACCCCTCCCTTCCTTCCTTCCCACCCCTACCTCCCTTCGGTTCCACCCACCTCTCCCTTCCTTCCACCTACACCTCCCCCACTCCACCCCCCCTTCCCCCTCCCACCCCCCCCCCCCCCACCCCCCCCCCCCCCCTCTCCCCCCCCCCCCTTACACCCTCCCCCCCCCTTCCTTCCACCCCTCCCTCCCTTCCTTCCTTCCACCCCTCGCTTCCTTCCATCCAGCCACCCACCTCATTCAACAATTACAATGCTGATAGCCACTCCTTATGCGACATCCTCTCACCCCACTGTAGTGCAAGCAGGCACAGCCTACATAACAGTGATAACTCTGCTTTGAATTCAAAAGCAGTATAGCATCACTGCCTCCCCATCACAGGAGCTATATTAGGTGGAAATCACTGGCAGGATCAACAGGTATCTGTGGGACTTTGCAAGGGGACTAAAGTTAAGCACACATTTGCGGCACTCAAGTAGCTTGAGGACTATTTAAACAATGTTTGTACAATATAAGCAAGCTAAAGGTGCCCATAGACAACTACTATCAAATTGGCCAAGGGTGGCCCAACAAGCACCACCTGGCTCAACAAATGTCAATTTAGTAATCAACTGAGCTGGGTAGAAAATTATCAGTTAAACTGTGACTTCATCCTATCAGATGCATTAATGTTCAGGTATTACGGCATCCGCGGGGTAGTGGAGATTTTGGTAGCGTGGATGGGGGGGAGGAATCAATTAATTCTTCATGTAGGCTGAACAGGAGAAAACTGAGCCATGCATAGTCAATGTGTGTTTTTATGAAATTGGGTGTGGTTGTGACTGAAATGGATGAAGATAATTGGTTCTGTCCCTGTTCATCAGTCAAAGATATTCTCATGCAGCGTTTAAGTGATATTGATAAATTCCATATATAAAGTCTATAAATAGAAGATAATAAATGCCGAATCTTCATCCAATGGATAGGATCCCAACACCAATTCTGTGAGGAGATGTAACACACTGCACCTCAGGTGATAGAGCCAAGCAGCTTACCAAATAGATATGACCCTCAAATTATAGAGTGGTCATGAAAGCCTGATATCTCCATGGAAAGCCTGCCTCCACATCAGCCACCATAAATATCCTCCCGGAACCGATCAAGCACTATTTTGAAATGGTTGAACTGGACGGACTTTTGTCTTTTTTCAGCAAAACTATGTAACTATGGCCAGATACCATCACTCCAGAAGCAGTGATGAAAAGAACTCATCATACAAAATAATACAGAGTGGACTACCATAGTGAAGTACGTTCAAAGCATACCAATTAATTAAAAGTAGTGCACTCACATAAAACTGATGTACAAGAAACAGACCATACAATATGGTCACGGCGTTCAGCGTGCTGGTCCTGCCCAACACGTTTTTAATGGGTGTGGCGAACAGACAGCAGCAAGCTATAAATACACCAAAACCAGAAACCAGCTTGTGTTCCAATGGGAGGAAGTGACGGAGGCTGGAACTGAACCACCTCCCACCACACCTGAAAATACCTCCCTATTGGAGCGACATAAGCTAAAACACATTGCAATATTCAATATTAAATAATACAATTTAAAAAAAAAAATAAACAAATATACAGATAGGTAAAAATATGTAGATATTATATAAAAGATCAATATCAACATAAAGTATAATATGCTTACCACTCTAAATCAGACAGCACCATCTAATGAAAATAAACTGAATACAATATACACAAATAATGAATAAAAAGGAAAACCAGAGACAATCTACCCATTATGAATAAAACTATTAACATCCCACTCTATATTCATACCATGGGGACTATACGATTTCAGCTCATATATCCATCAGGTCTCTAACTTACAAATTTGCCTCCAGATATAACTTCCTCTCCAATCAGGAGAAAACTTGTCAATTGCTAAAAAACTGGCCCCCATGGGATTCTTACTATGATAACGTGCATAGTGCTTCAAAACACTATGTCCTGGGAAACCACGATTTATATTTGCAATATGTTCTTTGAGCCATACTTGCATACACCTAACAGTACGGCCTACATATTGCAACCCACAGGGACATTGAATCAAATAAACAATGATAGTGGAAGAACATGTAACAAAAGAATTAATTTCAGATCATTTGGAGGTAACCCCCGACTGGATTCGACATACTCGTTTATCTTTAATCTGACAAACCGCACATTTGCGGCAAGGAAAAAAA